GATATTTCTTAGCGTTAGAAATTGATAGTGGCAAGATAAAGGTACACTTTGATATGACTAAATTTAATAATATCACTAATTAATAATTAATATAATTAATATTAATATTAGTTAATATGACTAATAATTTAATAATACGACACTTTGATATGACTAAATTTAATAATAATTTAATATGTACATAAGAACTCTGTATGAACACGTGTCTGATCTATTCAGCATCGCGTACAGGAAGAAAGATCCATAGATCACAGCTAGATATTGTTATCTATCGTTATTGATAGATGTTGTCGAGACTTTATTGAATTAGTGGAATCACAAGTACATCGTGCCTGATTTACCGAGAAAAATAAAACAAAATACAGCATATACTTCACACGCGACATTAATCTCTGCATCTACGTTAAGATCCAACGCGATAATTTTCTGGATCTCGATAAAAGCTGAATTTTATCACGACTGCCATAATTTCATTCATCAGCGACGAGTAAATCTGCGTATTTTTCGGATTCAGATTTAAATTATTCCACGCGTGGCGTATTTTTTCGGAATATACGTCAATGGAAAGCTAAGTAAATACGTGTTTCGGTATTAAAAAAGTAAGAGGGAAAAAGGCCATGCGCTCGCTGTTGCGTGGTGGCCATTCGCAAGGAAATGGCTAAATGCAACGTGAAATGTAAGCAAGGTGAGTTAGTGCAACAAACGGGGAAAAAAATATACGGAGCAGAAAAAAGCAATCTGACTTCACAAATCCATGGCTGTATCGCGTATGAAACCGGTCCTGGGCACCAGGACTCAGGTGCGCGAACCAACTCGGCTTTCCCCTCCTTTTCTAATGCTTTCAGTAGTATTTCATTAGGTTTGTTGACCGTTCGAAACCGAGAAATATAAATAACGTCACTATAAAGCGTTAATCTTCTTTTGTACATAACCACGAACATGAAAGAACACGCTGGTGTACGTAAATCGTGACTTATTATCCCGCGTAAATACGCGCGACATAAATTAACGAAAAATGAAACGGTAAACAGGCAAAAGGATATATATGATAATAAATTCTTGAAATTACTTTGAATATTAATCTCCGAAATTCGGACTTAAATCGGTGTTGCACGGACCTTTAAAGCGGACTACGTACACAAACGTAATCCTGAAATCGCTTTTAAAGACAGTCTCTGGAATAGCGATTTAAATTGCCGGTTAAAAGGATCTAAGGTGATACAACCACCGATCTGTAATGTATAATTAAACGGATAATATCGTATATAGATGGTATTAAATAATAGTAGGTAATTCTCATGAAACCTGTGAATAATAAAATTTTTGTGGATATTGAGTGAAATAAGGAATAATAGTAGAAAATTTTAAAAAGTATATAGAAGTATAAGAATGCTCAGATCTCAGATCTCAAAATATAGAATTATGAACGCAAGACTCAGATCTCAGGATTCAGAGCTCAAAACTCAGATCTCAGGATTCAGTGCTCAGAACTCAGATCTCAAGACTCAGAGCTCAGAACTCAGATCTTAGGGCTCAGATCTCAGGGCTCAGATCTCAGGACTCAAAGCGCAGAACTCAGATCCCAGAACTCAGCTCCCAGAACTCAGATCTCAGGACTCAGAGCTCAGAACTTAGATCTCAGGACTCAGAGCTCAGAACTTAGATCTCAGGACTCAGGACTCAGAATTCAGATCTCAGGATTCAGAGCTCAGAACTTAGATCCCAGAACTCAGATTTCAGGACTCAAAGCTCAGAACTTAGATCTGAAGACTCAAGACTCAGAATTCAGATCTCAGGATTCAGAACTCAGAACTTAGATTTCAGGACTCAGATCTCAGATCTCGGGACTCAGAGCTCAGAACTCAGATCTCAGGACTTAGAATTCCGAACTCAGAATTCAGAACCCAGAACTGTGATCACAGGACTCGCAGTTTAAATCTCAGATCACACAGCTCAGAACTGAGAGCTCAGAACTCAGAATTCCAAACTGTGATCACAGGACTCGGAGCTAACAACTCAGAATCGAGAGTTCAGAACTCAGAACTAAGAGCTTAGAACTGAGATCTCAGAACTACCATAATCCGTAAAACGATTCGTCGAATCTGTATATACCTCTCTGTATTGCGTTTCCGTCTCTGGCGCATAGCCAGCCGAATTAGCCTCTAGCCCGGCTTTCCAATGATAGACGTGCATTAATGAAAGCGTTTCCCGTGTTTCTTTTTTTCAGAACTCCGAGATATCCCTGTTCGAGACGAACATTCGTTTCATGGGAAGTCTGCTGGCCTGTTACGCTCTCACCGGGGACGTGATGTTCCGGGATAAGGCGGCTCAGCTCGGCGAACGGATGTTGCCTGCTTTCCAGACGGGAACCGGAATTCCTCACTCCCTCATCAATCTCCATACCGGGGTGAGTTCGGGGATTTCGCGGCTACGCGTCGACCGCCGTGCCGACGCCGGCGTCCTTTAACGTTAATTATTTCTTCCGTAACCGCGGCCGCGAAATTTCCACGGTTTAAATATTTCCGTGCTAAAGGAAGGATGAACCGCGCCGATTGCCGGATTGTTCGGCAATTTCTTGCTTCCTTTACCAGATACTCTGTCGCGCCTCTTCACAGAGCGATTCCCTTTAACTACCATGAACTTTACGCGATTAATGTTGCTGAAATGGGATTAAAAGTTAGGAATTGGGGGCCGGGGCTGTGCGAATCCGGGGGATGTTAAACCACTTGCGGGTTCGGGATTGGAATTTGGGGTTGGAAATTGGCAAGCGAAGACTGAACATCGGTAATTACCAGTCGAAAATTCGCAATTCGAAAACCGAGACAGAGCAGTTGCTTTGCACGTTCTACCTGGAAATTGAACCCTGGAATTGCGAAGACTGACAATTGACATAGCGGAGATTTAAAATTGAAAATTGAACATTCAACGATTGAAAATAAACAACGCAGGAAAGTGGAAGCTCGAAGCTGAAAATTAAAAATTAATTTTTAATCGAAAATTGGGGTAATTGAAAGAGCGGAGGCTGCTAAATCGACGGTCGGAAATTTAAAATTAATTTGACAATGGAAAATAAAAAATTAATAGCCGCAAATTAGAAGCTTGAAATTACCTATTAGTCGGTAAACAATCGCCGATGGAACGAATTTTATTTCACGTTTGGAAACAGCCCGCGAGGAAGAACGAATCGTACAGAGGTATCTGCGAAATCCGACTGTGTCCGCGAAAAAAGTGTGCCCAAAGAGAAACGCAAATCTCATGCCGGAGAATCGTATCGCAAAATGAAAACGAAAACAAGGCGCTTTTTGTATTACGCTAAATTCGTTCCTTTCTTTACCGGTAACGCGCACGTATGCCCAAGGCGTCGAGATTGAGTCTGAGAGGCTTACAGAGAAGGCAGTAATCTCGGTGGTTTTTGCACATACATTAGAAACACGGGCACGGTGCGTTCGTTGGCTTTAATTGAAACGATTCCGACAAGTCACGTTTGCTAAAGCGACGGGTCGCGATTAATATGCAAATTCTTAATTGGTCGAATAACGAGGCTACGAAAACCAGTATTTCGTCACTTTGACCACTTTATTCTTCTCCTTTCCTTCATCCCTTTCATCTATCTTCCTCCTATCCTTTTTACATGGGTGTCCGACTTTAAGCTACTAGTGGAAATTACTCGTTAACTCCTCGACAGATATTGAATAGTATTGGGATTATGGGTTTTAACCCTTTGGACTCGAAGATTTCTTGGTTATGAAGATGCAATTCGAAGCTCTTCTTAGATTTTTGTAAGCTCACTGATACTCTTTATGCTAAAATTAAAAAAAGAAAATCGTGAATTTGAGTGAGAAACGAACGGATAGAATAATTTTATTTCGATGTTCTTAATATAATTATCATCATTCATTATCTAAATTATAGAATTAAAGATATAATAATTTTATTTCGATGTTCTTAATATAATTATCATCATTCATTATCTAAATTATAGAATTAAAACAAACGGTGACTGAGAGTCACCTATCGAGTGCAAAGGGTTAATAGTAAAATAAGTACAATATACAGGGTGGGTCGTGTTGGAACCCGGATTTCAATATACAATACGGGCCCTAGCAACAGGGCTACGTTGGAAAAATACAAGTCGGCGGAGAGGAAAAAACTAAAACTGAAAACTGGAACTGGACTGAAACTGACTTTTCGCAAATTTTTTGGGTGCTTATATGTTAGTTTTTGGTGTGGTGAAGATGACCATTGGCCCTTACTGAAAGTGAGAATGAGTCAATTGTTTTTGGACTCTGAAATTGGTCTGCGTTTAGCAGCCAGGCCCTTCTAGTGACTAAGGGCCAACGAATCATTAGTCATCCAACAGTTGCCATATATTGCCATCTAGATATAGATCATTAATAATGATTATTAATACGTATTAATTAATGACGTATATCTAGATGGCAATATATGATGACCCATCCTGTATATATGAGCCGTTCACTGCCATTAACCCAATTAACTCCCCTTTTTGAAAAATCTTAAATTTAAGTGTCAAAGCACTTGGTATAGTCATAGCTTTTTATATTTCAGATTTTTCAAAAAGTAGATTTAATCGATTTGTGCAGTGAATGGTTCACGTATTCTCTGTTGAAGTCTTTATTTCTCAAGGAAGATATATGTTTCTTTGGATGCTTCTCTTGAAAGACTGACCAACTCATCTGAGACACATCTGCAGCTGTACCCGACTCCTAAGAGTGTCAAGAGGGTACTTGGCACGGTTCGCCTAAGTCCCCAATTGTTATCGAATATTTATGTAAACATTTGTTCTAGGAATTTGTATCTTATAAATTATTTGTTCATATCTTATCTCCTAGATTGATTTTTGTTCACAATTAAATTTATCTTTTTAACAAATAGCTTGGAGAATAATTTTGAGTACCTTTTTGTTAGTGGTCGCATAATTTTTGATGCACTAATCGACTCAGCTCATCGTATATAAACGGAAAAATTAGTAGACTGTGTGTGAGGAAAATTATATAAATTGCAAAGCTTATGGCAGTCCTAAGATTTAGCACAACAAGGAGTCCACGAATAATTTTTATTATTCGGTATATTAAAAACCCTGTATAATATTCCAAAATCTCGTTCATCGTTTCTCGTTTCTATGTTTTCTATTCCACATTTTTCCCTGTTTCTCTGCAAAGGTCCTTTTGTCCCATTTTCCACGCAGCATTTCGAAGTTCTAACTTTAAAAAACTATTTGTTCAGCCCTTTGCCTGTATACTCGCTCGCTCTATTTTCCGCCATTTTCTCCCCGCGATCCAATTTTTCCACGTTGAACGACACGAATACCGGGCCCGACGGCTTTTTCCATTCTCCCCATAGAGTGCCGTAACACCGTGAAAACCATGGACTGCAGATTCGACCGGGAAACTTCGTCGCCTCGAATGGAAATCCGGTTGAAACTGTGTTGTTTCACGCGACACGAAAAGTGCACTAAATAAATGCCAAAATCAAATTCGATGGCTTTCGTGTCAACCGGGACGGATGCTTCGATTATAAACGCGTTTCGGGTCGCGGTAATCGAGTATGTGTCGTCTGAATGACGTCAAATGATCGCAAACTGATTTCACGTAATTATATTATTGCGCGTATAATAATCGTATACAAATTCTGTAATCTGAAGGAAAAGTTACAAATTAAAAATCAATACGAAATAAATAAGAAAAATAATGTGAAATGAAGAGAAAAAGAACAAGAAAAAATTGTAAAATAGAAATTAGAGACTACGAAGGCAATAGCCAGTCAATTTGAAAATCAAGCTATACTAGAAAGAGAAAGAAATATACACGCGCATATGTATATATACGCACATACATATACACATACGTAAAGAAATATACATGTGCTTACCACTGACCGCAGACTACTGACTACTGACTACTGACCATTGACCACTGACCCTTGACCGTTGGCCATCCTTTGGCAGTACCAACCAGGCCCAGTAAAGAAGATGCGTCCGGTCCAAATGGGTAAAAGAGGTTTCACGTAATACTGTACCTCATTTTATCCAAAAATCGTGCATTTTTTAAGGAAAACTCACATTTTTCGGAAACTTACAATAATAGAACAATTTTGATTACGGATTCGCGTTCGGGAAACTCTACAGGAATCGCCTAATGGATATTACAGCTTAAAGGGAAAGTTAAAATTTGTTTTACAATGTTATCCTCGATTATCGCGAAATTCGATCATTTTCTTACGAAAGGGAAGCAACCTTCCCATGAATGGCTCGATAGCCTCTCGCTCTCGGATCTCCAGGAAACCCCTAGGAACCCGCGATAAAATCAGGATAATTTCAGCTCATCGAAACTCGCCGGCAGAGAAAACAGTCTGACGGCTAGATTTCCCAGTCGATTCTTCTCGGAGGCAATCAGCGATCGCTTCTTCCGATTCTCCAGTGGCCCGACGGCGAAAATTCGATTAAATTTCGCGCTGCAACCGAACGTTTTCATTATCGCGGCCACTGCCGGTAATTTCCACGGCCGGGGTTAATATTTATCTTGCCGGTGCGAAGCACGAGGCGCGTTCGTTTCGCGAAGCTTGGAAACCGTCTCTATAAACACCGGCCCAGGCCCGTCTTTGTTATTTCGTTTAATTGGATCCGTTTGATTCGATCGCCGCCGCGACTTCGCCGCTGATTCGAGCCTCCGCTTCCGTTCTGCCTCGCTTCCGCTGCTAATCGACCCGGTGTCGCGTCGGGAATCTTTCAGGCGAGCAAGAACTACGGCTGGGCGAGTGGCGGGTGCAGCATCCTATCCGAGATTGGCACGATGCACCTCGAATTCACCTACCTCAGTGACATCACCGGCAATCCGGTTTTCAAGAGCAAGGTCGAGAACGTGAGGAAAGTGTTGAAGAACCAGGAGAAACCAAAAGGACTGTACCCGAACTACATCAACCCCAAGACGGGCAACTGGGGACAGCGTGAGTCATTTATTTTTATTGTCATTATTATTATTGTTGTTGCTATTATTATCAGGTAAACCTGCGAGATTTGAAGAAATTAATGGGGAAAAATCGTGAACCCGAGATGTAAAATTCGAGGATTATTTGGGAAATTATTTGTACGAGATAACGAAGGTTTATAAAGATGGATCGAGTAGGTTAAATATGAAAATATAAAATTTAGATACTTTTCCGTGGAACATGAGTATCTAATCGACGCGAAATTCAATAATGACGATGGCGAAGAAATGATTTCACGAAAAATATCAGTAGCCAGAAAATTCAGGGGGTACAGATGCGATGTTGGATAAGTCCAAAATATAAAATATAAAATGTAGATTCTCTTCTTTATTTAGAATAGACACCAGTGGTCGATTCACGGAAAATTCAGGAAAATAGTTGCTAAAAGAAACCACCTACGGGACGTAAAATTTTCGCATGCAGTATTTATCATTTTCCAAGAACTTGATAGACCCCTTTCGATGCTATGGTCTGCTGCAATTTTTCTATCGTACTTCACTTTTGGTAACAGTTCCTCTTCGACTATGTTCTCGCTAACTAGACCGACCCGTATACCACCGATTCGCGTGACAAATAGACGGTAAGTAGTCGAAATGGAATTTCCATGTGGTTCGGCAGGGACGCGCGTACGTGTATCTGTTTGCACGCTCTATCGAGCAACCCGCAGGAGATACCGAGGCACTTAATAACAACGATAAATCTTGCAAGGCGTTATACGGTATCCAGCAACCCCGGGTAATCCCATTCCCGGCTTACTTAAATCATTGTCCGCATCAATTCCGGCGGCAACGATCGGTTTGCTGGCAAAAACACGGGGCTAATTATTCCTCTCATGCTACGTCGCAGCTTCATAAATTTCACACGTACCTAATAAGAGAACTGTCTTTCAAAGGACCACCGGTAATTCTCACGCATCGCAGCGAAAGCAACGGGGCCACGTGAGCACGGTTTCGCGATAAAATCATTCATCCCGCGAGCGACCATGAAAATGAATCCCCCGGTCGAGTATCGAACTCTGAAAAAGGACAACGGCGACCAACGCAGCATCATCCAGTCAAAAACCGACGTATATACACCACTCGTGACAAATGAGGAACATCGGCTTGTCGGCTGCGAGAATAAAAATTCCCTTCCCAAATTCTACCTTCCCGTATCCGATCAACTCGGATTTAATTAATGATTTATTACACTCGCTCGCGTCTTACGCATTATGCGTTATTCTTTGTTACTTTTTTTCTTCGTGTTACGTATTTTATCACGTCATTGCTGTTCTCTATTCCGTTTGCGTAACCTGTCCCCCCTTCTGCGTTAACCCTCGACGCTGCATCGGCGCCATTACGGAGACACTGGTATCCTACAATTTATTTTCACGGGTAAAAATTGGAAGGTATAGGATGACCGTGTTTATAAATCTCTGGAACGTGTTTGGTTTCAAATCGGAACCTCTAACCACTCCTCGAGTACCTTTACTACAGAATCTGCATAATAAAATCGAAGAGTCTCCAGTGTGCAAGGGATCAATCGTACGTAGAAGCATTTGCCCAATTACGAAATATATAAATAAAAATGAAAGACGAGGGGGAAACAAAAGCAGAGAAGCAGTTGGAAAGAAGAAGAAAGACTGACAGAGAAAACGCAAAGCATGGGATGAAACTTGAAAAGGAGAAAAACGGGGGAGCCATGGAGCAACGATCGATGTCGGATGTAAATATGGCCGATGCTTTATTACTGTAATTTCATTTAATAAATCTTCCCGCGCCCGGAGAATTTTCGGCAAAATAGATTTTTAATCTGACGGCTATCAATTATATCGGTGGAATAGTTTCGACGCGATGGTGTTGCTGCCGTTCCACGGGTGCCCCGTCCTCGGCTTCCTTTTGTGCCTCGCGTCGCCTTCCGAGGAGACTAGCTGTTCCCGTGGCCGGCACTCTTTGCACCGTCTCCCCGAATATCGCATTTATCATGCCGCGCATCCCCTCGGGTGCTAAATCCTCTTCTTCTCCCGTTGTTCCGCCGACTTCGTCCTCCTCCCGCATTTTCCCGTTGCGCGTATGACGATCCCCGACGAATATTTATCATCGTCCTGGAACCGACCTCTCCTCGTCCTCGGCCTCCCCCTGTCCCTCGCCCTTTTCTTCTCCTTTCATCCTTTTTCCCCCCTTTCCGTGCTTAGCCCCGCTCCCCCTTTTTCTCTCTCGCCCTGCCCGCGTTCATCCTGGGCAACCGTCAACCTTCGAGTCGCCTTAAATTTATGGTTCTATTGAATCTGCAGCGTCGCGAGGCCACTTCCAGAGGAAGCTTCGGCCGGGTAATTAGCTGGCCGCTCGTATTCACCGGCGGCTGAATGGTCGACGAGCAGCAGCTGCGAAGTCGGATCAACGGGCTTCCTTCCAGTAGTACCCTTTCCGTTCCTTCCAGGGAACCCTGCGACAGTCCCGATAAGCGTGTGACGAGAACGGGAGAAGCATCCGAGGAGTATGAAGTTCAAGAACAGTGGAGGTGGATAGTGGCAGATGGGACGTTGGTTGTGATGGAACAATCGCGTGGTTGGATTTGCTTTGTTTTGTGCTGAAAAATAGCGAGTAGCGTGGTTTGCTTGGACACTCTGATGGTCTTCATTGTCGCCCACCTCTTTACGATGGTACCTGTGCTAACTCCTATCTTGTTCGTTACGTTTACGTGAAATCGCGCGGATTTCGAAAACATCGACTTCCTTGTAAGTTCGATCACGATACGGGAAATAGTCGTTCCGATCTTTTCCCAACTTCAGAATGTCCGTAATTAAGTTCCTCGCAGTACCTAGACTACTCGCGAAGACTCTAGTGCAAGTTGAAAAGAATAATTCCGATGTTTCTACGGTTCTATCGTGAGGAGCGTGTAAAGTAACGAGAAGGGGCAAACAAAGAAAAAGAATAACGCGTTTCATCCAGGGTCTGTTAGTGGACTGGGTAAAGCTATTTATTTAGTAGGTTCGTGCTTCAAACGCAGGAACAATGGAGCCCCGGCTGAAGGATGTATTTGCAGGAATTGGATGATTAGAGAACCTGTATTGGCGAGAGTACCGACCAGCCTGATGTTTCTCTGTTTACCACGAGTAAACTCTGCAGAATACACGATTTTTACTAAATTCCATTTAAAAACGAACAAGTAAAAATAAATAGAATTCATAAACAAAAGATGGGAAGATACAAGAACAATTTATGCGAAAGAAATCCATGTCGATCTACGAATACTTTCGCTGAAATTTCATATTTTTGAAAGCTCCAGGAACATAATTAAGACACGCTATCAACCCGAAATCGGTTCGAAACCGTTCCCACGAGAGCCAGAGAACGTGACTTATCGCGCAGCTCCACGGATTCATCTCCAAGCGCAATTACCCGGGGAGCGAAATGCTCGAAAGAATAGGAAAATCAATCGAGAGTACTCGTTGAGAAATCTCGACCGACATCAATTTACTTACCCTCTATATCGATCTCGATCGCGTCCCTGCGCGCACGTTTCCAGTAGATCGCGAAGTGCGGCAGGAGTCTGCGGGAAACGGAAGCGCCCGACGCCCTCTGCAGCTGAAGAAGAGTCGCGAGAGTGAAACCGCTCGAGCTCTCATTGTCTCTCAGACGAGTTGTCGGAGTAGCCCTCTTCTTCGTGCAAAAACCTCGCTGATATCCGCGTCTGCAGCCTCCGCTATCTTCCGTGCCTGCGAGAACCTGTGGAGCCTAAGTGCCCGACCATTTCGCTGTTCGTTTTCATAATAAAGCGTTCCTCGGATCACCGATTTCCACGTAGACCGACCATTTCCATTCCGTGCTCGCTTCGCGTCGTTATTTATCGCGATCCAACTTGGAAAGCGCGAACTCGATCGTTTCGATGGATTCGCGTTTCAACTGGAAGATCGAGGGGACGTAACGCAACTTCCTGGGCTCGTTCCAGAACCGTTTCGAAATTTATACGGACCCTAAAAAATTACGATTATAGAATCCATATGGGAATTAATAGAGGAGACTTAACCTGAACAGATTTAGTAAGAAATTTAGGTCCTTTATGGCGTAATTATTCGGAATGGAAGTTGTTCGTAACTATTCCAGAAATCTGAAGCTATTTTATGACAGTTTTCAAGCTCTGCATGTGACCACCGAGTATCCAGATAGGATGAAAAAGCTGTTTCAAAGTAATTGTCTCGTCGGCTGGAAGTGGCTCGTACGTTTCTCCAGTCAGTTTGTCCTCGTGCTTTGTTTCCAGTTCAATGGGAAATTCTCGTTGGAGAGTGGAGAATTATGAGACCCGTAGACCTGGCGCGAGGATCGCGTGTTATTAAGATAGAGCCAGGCCGACAGGAATTCCGCGGATTTTCGAAGTAGCTTCTTTATCTCGCAGCTTTTGAAACGTGTAACGAGCTTAAGAGCAGTCGCGTGATGGATTTGCCAGTTGTCCCGGCGAACTTGCTCCACGAACTGGTTCTCGTGAATTTATCTGATCGGCCAGCACACGACGGGTTAAATCGAATCTGTTGAAATTAAACTATCCGCCTTATCTTCCGAGATTTGTCTGGGTCGCCTTTTAACACTGCGAGAGCTGACTTGTCACTTGGATTTAATTTTAACCCTTTGCACTGGACGATTTTGTGGCTAAAGAAGGGCACAGGTTGACAAATTTTCTGCCATAAGGCTGATGATATTTTTTGAGCAGTAAATAATAAATCGTATAATAATTAACACGCAGAATTATTTGACTTCGATACCTTGCACGCTGTTACATTGTTTTAAATTTGATATATTAATTAATATCGAGCTTCGAAATTTTATCAAATGGTGACTGAAGGGCGCCTCTCGAGTGCAAAGGGTTAATATACGTAGATATCATATTATATTAACAATTGAAATAGGATGACAAAAATGAAATGGTAAACGAGTTTGCTTACCTAATGGTGTTCCTATCTTGATAAGAATCAACATTAATTTTAACCAAAACCAAGACTTTTCGATTTGCTAGATAATTCTAATTCGGGGTTCTCAACGAAGATCATAAGGTCCTGCCAAATCGAATTAAATATTTTATTTCTAATTGCAACGTAGAAAAATGGCAAAATTGAAGGGCTACAGACGTAAAGAAATATGGGATACGTGTATTTGTTATAAATTTATACCTTTGGGGTTATGTAGAAAATAGAGAAGAAAGGGACTATAGAGAATGTCGAAAAAGGAATCACGAGCCAAAATAGGTTGAGAAAACCTGTTCTAATGTTAGTGGAAAGACTATATATATTTTTTAACGAAAAGACGAGAGATATTTGAAATACGACGACAACGACGTAGCATAAGAAAATGGCGAATGTATGGCGGTTTATCGATGAACTTTTTCTCATCCCCAACACAGATCACATGTCGCTGGGAGGTCTTGGCGACAGTTTCTACGAGTATCTGTTGAAAGCATGGATCCAGTCCGGGAAGGAGGACGTCGAAGCCAGACAAATGTACGACGAAGCGATCGCGGCCATAGATCAACACATGATCAAGACGTCGCCAGGCAAGCTGCTCTACGTGTCGGACCTGAAATACGACAGGCTGGAACACAAAATGGGTCATCTGGCGTGCTTCGCTGGTAAGTTGTAAAAGTAACCTTCTCTCATCCATCAATTTATACCTCCTCTTACTTTTCCTCCCTTTCCAAAGTATTCAAACTTTTACCCTATTTCTACTCGTGCGAAATTTTTCCAATTTTATCGAATCGATTTAACGCATTTCCGCGAATTATTTGAGATAAATTTTTAAGATTCGCTCATTTCTATGAGGCGAATTTTTATCATAAATATTCGACGATGGGATTATCGTAAATTAGAAACCGTATCTTGTCCGTGTCGAACGGGGAAAAATTGCTGTGCTTGTTTCCAGGCGGTATGTTCGCATTGGGCGCTAAAACCCTGGAAAACGAATTATCTGAAAGCTACATGAGGATAGCCGCTGGTCTCACCCACACGTGCCACGAATCCTACGATCGAAGTTACACGAAACTCGGACCGGAAGCCTTCCACTTCATCGAGGGCAACGAAGCGAAAAGTTTAAAGAACGGCGAAAAGTACTACATTCTTCGACCGGAGGTAAATTTTGTTTTCGAAAACTGGAAACAGTGTATTCGCTGATGAAAATGGGCAGAAAATAATTTGGGTGAAATGAAACTTAGGAAACGTTAAAACACGCGCGAATAAATGGGGTAAGAGAAATATCGAGTCTTTTAAGTTGACGTTGATCTTCGTGTGTACTATTAAAAATACTAAATATATTAGACGACGATAAATTAAGAATCGTTGGTAAAATTTGGGATCCAGTAAGAACCGACTTCAAACGAGCTTCAGTCAATGGATTGAAGCAAAAATCGGTCATCTTTTCACTAAAAACAGTACTCCAAATGGCTAACTTAGAATAAGGCGAATTTTTAATTTCGTTAATAATAAATTATTAATTTTATAAATAAAATAACATACCAATAATTTTATAAATTATTAATTTCGTTAGTGATAAATTACTCGATTTTAATGATTCGTGTATTAGAGAGAGCGACCTCTATCAATTTTTGTCAAAAATCGATTCTCTCCGCGAGTGTATCAAATGGATAAGATCAAAATGGACGAATTATTAGCATGCGCGAGTCGTTTCAAGACAGGGATTTTCGCGCCTGGTCTAACCAAAGGAGACCAGGAAGAAACGAAACGATGAAACGAAGCGTAGAGAAACGTTTCGAGCATTTATTCCCGGCTGCTTTCACGACCGGTAATGAAAGCTGAAATATTCAATCCGTTCTTTCCCGCGTCACCCGCCGAGGCAAACACAGGCCGCTGGCCAAATTCCGAGGTAAAATATTTTTCTTTCAGACCTTCGAATCGTACTTCGTGATGTGGCGGCTGACAAAGGACCCGAAGTACCGTGAGTGGGGCTGGGAGGCTGTTCAGGCGCTCGAGAAATACTGTCGTGTTCCAGGAGGCTTCACCGGGCTCCACAATGTTTACCTGGTCGAACCGCCACAGGACGACGTCCAACAGAGCTACTTCTTCGCCGAGACGCTCAAGGTACCAACACTTCTGTCCTGATTCCCTTCATTTCTTCCATTCATTTCGAATTCCTTATGCACGCTTCGTGGAATTTTTCTCGTACAGCAAATCTTCCTCCGATAGGGGGATAGAGTCCGATCTTCCATCGGTTGTTGCAGTATTTGTAAAATAGCCAAAATTAGGGAACCTGAAACAACGATCGATGTCGGATGTACAATAAATTCAGACGATGCTTTATTACCATAATTTTTTAATTCCCTTCATTTCGAATTCCTAATGCTCGCTTGGTGGAATTTTTCTCGTACAGCAAATCTTCCTCCGATAGGGGGATAGAGTCCGATCTTCCATCGATGGTTGTGGTATTTGTAAAATAGCGAAAAGTAGGGAACCTGAAACAACGATCGATGTCGGATGTACAATAAATCCAGACGATGCTTTATTACCGTAATTTTTTAATTCCCTTCATTTCGAATTCTTTATGCACGGTTCATGGAATTTTTCTCGTAGAGCAAATCTCTTCCTCCGATAGGGGGATAGAGTCCAATCTTCCATCGATAGTTGCAGTATTTGTAAAATAGCGAAAAGTAGGGAACCTGAAACAACGATCGGTGTCGGATGTACAATAAATTCAGACGATGCTTTATTACCATAATTTTTTAATTCCCTTCATTTCGAATTCCTAATGCTAGCTTCGTGGAATTTTTCTCGTACAGCAAATCTATTCCTCCGATAGGGGGATAGAGTCCGATCTTCCATCGATGGTTGTGGTATTAGTAAAATGGCGAAAAGTAGGGAACCTGAAATAACAATAAATGTCGGATGTACAATAAATTCAGATGATGCTTTATTACCGTAATTTTTGCATGTAATGTTTGCAGAGCTATGTCTTCGATTAAACACGTGGAAAGGGATTAGATCGTTTCGTTGATGTATATATTCATAGCCATAATAAAAATTCGAATTCTGTGTGATACATATGAAAGAATATTCCGAGATTCCACTAAAAGAGAGAGTCGTGTTATAAAAATGAGTATAAATTAATACAGTCCGGTTTATATTTTTATTTTATAATTATCCACCCGTTCCTCGTCACACAAGTATTTTTCTTTTCCCTTTTACTCAAGCTGTGCTACTACTATGATAATTTCTGGAAACGAGAATTTTGCTTTCTTCTCGCAGCGTATCTATTACAGATTTTTATTAGCAACAGCGATAATAATTAATGGTAATGAATCTCGTAGTTTTACGAACGTTACAAGTCACGTGTGATAAGGAAAATTATTACTCTTAATAACACGATGCTCGCACGATTTACGTAGCGTGAGCAGAAGCCGAGCAAAAACCAGTCTGGCGGGGAACTTGGTATATTAAATAATATACCAATATCCGTTTAATTTTCCTTGAACCCCGCAACCGTGTCAGAGTTCAGCCACATAAAAGCAGCCCGATAAACCGGAATATCTTGGACATGCTCTCTCGCTGCACGTGCAATCGTCTCGCCGACGAATTACGATCTTCGATAATGGCAGGAATCGTCAAACACGTAACAAAATCAGAAATACTTGCCGATAATCGCTTCGATGTTTAAATTTTTCCCGCGTAAAACGAATCGATCGCGGATCTAAATCATGGTTGTCCAACTCGGGCTCTCAAAATGTTAGTAGCGAATGAAATTTAATAACAATAAAAAGAATCGTATATTTAATTACAAAGATTATTAAACACAAATGTTAGGTTGAAATATAATTAATATATCATAATCACATGTTCACACGTCTTCTCACTATTAACCCTTTGCACCTGACGACTTTTTCGTTACAGAAAAATAGTAATTCCCAGACTTTCTGTCATAGAGTCGACGAAATTTTTAAAATGGTAAATGAGAAATCATATGCAAACTAAGACGTAGAATTATTTTTCTTCGACATTCCACACATCGTTAGGTAATTTTATATTTGATACATTAATTAACGTCGATCTTTAGAATTTGATTAAATGGTGACTGAGTGTCACTTCTCGAGTGCAAAGGGTTAAAACTCAATTGCAACTGACGTATGCCAAATCACTCTCCTTTTTTTCTTTCTTCTTTCGTACGTTACATGAACCTAAACAATTCACACAACACCTCAATCATTACACGCATACTCATTTATCATAATAATATTTCCATCCCATGCATACTTCTTCCACTCATTCCAATACCTATATATTTAAAAATCTATGTAACCATTACCACGCAAAATGTGGCCCAATTTTATATATATATAAAATATATAAAACAATGTCAAAGTAAGGAATATTCCGTGTTGCTGTCTTATAATAGAAAGACTCATAAATTAACCCTTTCGGTAAGAAAGCGTCGGCTATATCCGGCATCCATCTGTGTAGAATTTTATATAAATATGTTTTAATATTAAAGCTACAAACAATACTTGTTGAACAAAGCATTATGTTATTAAGCTTCTTATTTAACGCTTAAGAAAATCTTCGTACAAAAGAGGACTGACCATGTAAGCGGACAATGCACTCGTACCGAAAGGGTTAATTACTCAAATAAAGTTTAGATTACTTAAAATTTAGTTTTTCGCGTTTAAATTACTCAAATATACTAACTACATATTTCACATCTTTTCTTTTTTCATTTTTATTGTTAGGTATATATTATCGTTAGTATCAGGTATATTTTATGCGACCCAAAATAACTCGTTTTCCTGCAACAAGGCCCAGGGAAGTTAACCCTATGCACTCAACGATTTTTTGGCTAGAGGAGAGTAGAAATTCAAAGATTCTCTGCTAAAAAACTGACGATACTTTTCTGAGGAGTAAATAAAGAATTGTATAATAATAGAATTGTAGAATTATTTGATTTTGATACCGCGCACACTGTTACATTACATTACATTACATTAAATTTGATATATTAATTAATATCTGTTAAAGGGATTATTACGCAAGGAATAGTATTCAGTGAAGAAACTGTGGAAAAACTGTGTAGATCTTTATTCAACTGGCGAATGATTAGAACTGACCTGTTGAGGGCCTCGCAGGTCAAAAGTCGTCTTCAGAAGACTGATAACAAAAGACAGAACATTGAAATCGCCCCCACACCGCTGGAATGTAGAGTTTGCTTCGTTATTGAATTTAACCATAATATCGATCTTCCAAATTTTATGAAATGGTGACTGAAGCTCACTTCTCGAGTGCAAAGAGTTAATTACTCGAATAAAGTTTAGATTACTTAAAATTTAGTTTTTCGCGTTTAAATTAATTAATATGCTAACTATATATTTCACATCTTTTCTATTGTTAGGTATATATTATCGTTAGCGTCAGGTATATTTTATGCGACCCAAAATAACTCGTCTTCCTGCAATACGACCCAGGAAAGTTAAAAGTTGGACAGCCCTGATCTAAACGATAAAAGAACGCGTTTACCATCGACATTTCCCTTTGCGATCTCGCGTGATCGATATATCTTTCCTCTTCTCTCTCCAGTTAAAAGGACAAGGAAAAATGTACCGATCGCAGGGAATCGGAACGGTAGAAATCGCACGACCGCATCGGGACTTAAAGTGGCGAGATCGTGCGAGCGCCGCCATTAACGCGGCGCGCAGTGCCGTATCCCGCGATCTATTTCCATTCTGCTAAACGTTAACGAACATTTTCCCGGTCGTTACACCGCTTACACCGCGTCCACAAATTTTCATTTAACCTTTCGCCGGTAGTCGCTGGCCCGATGAAACATTTTCCCGGCGTTCGCAACGCGTTTAAACTTGCATTATCCCGAACGCGTAGCCGCGTCGTTAACTTCCGGTTAAAGGGGTTGCCTTGCGTTCCTCCGCCAACCCCGGGGCAAAAGAAAAGAATCCCGACGATCGTTATCGGTATTAAAGTCGACTGTTCGTAACTGTTAATAAAATCGAAGTTAATGAATTTATTAATAGCGCGGTTGATTGCCACTCGAGACCCTTGGGCGCTCGCGAGAAGTCTCGTTAAGTTATTTCGAATACTTCTGCTGTAAAATTACCGCAGTTGGAATACAGACGAACGAAAGGCTGAAAAGGCGGTCATTAAGAATGTTTACACGGAAGGGATGAAAATTAATGGCGGCTGGTATATCGGTTTGCGTTTCCTGCGCGGAATCGCTGGCTAAGGGAATGAACGCTGGAAATGAGATTAATATTTGCGGTAAACGATGTATATTGATTTGCATTTCGAGCAGATGCTATTAAAGACCCCGTGCTTCTAATTTTAGCTTAATTGTACAATTTGCTTGATCGAAATGTACACGATGTGTTATAAAATGCGCTCCGATGTTATTGAACTTTGATAGGTAACTGGCTAATGGAATTAGCAGAGGAAATTGCAGGAAATATGTTACAAAATGTAACGATACACTTGTAAATGTGGAATTCTTTATTACACTCGCGATAGTAAATATTTACTAGCCTCGAATCGCGTTTATCTTGTTTTCATACGTATCTCTATGATAGCTCGATTATTATAATATTTAAAGTCGAACCTCGTAATTTAAAGCTCGTGGGATAAGCGAGAACCTCTGAAAAGTAAACGGATGAAACGAAGTATCGCGATTAAAAGGAAAATTGGCTTCTGAAATCTTATGACGAACTTGGAAACTTCGAATCATTGGGGGCAGCGACGAAATTCGACTATTTTGCATTCGAGTTTCGAGTTAACACGTTAACCACTTGCCCTGGAAGGACGTGCCACGCACGTCGTAATGCTTTTGTCGCAGAATCGCCAACAACGTGGTATACACGTTGTCAGGCAATTGTCACAAAAACACTGGACCGTTATGGCACTCGCGTCTATGAATTGCCACGCCAGTTTTACGAACCCTCATGTGGGCCCTTCCAGGCCGTAGGGATCGGCGAGGTGTGAACGGAAAGTCTAGTGCCGTTCCCTAGGGACCTACGTGGCGTTTAACGCGTTAAACAGAAAATCGATTAAACAGAAATCGAAAATACGACTGTAATTAAAATCCAGATATTTCACCCTTTGCTCTTACAGCTTCCTTCCTTGCAAAGAAACCATCAAACTCGCATCGAATCGAAATTCTCCTGGTAACAAACTCGATGACGTTTCTCGCGACGGCATAAAAAGGAATTACGTATGAATTATACATACAGTATACCGTCCCAATATCTCACGTACTGTCGCATCGTAACAATAATACATCGTTGCATTATTCCAAATAATAATACAGTTATTGTCGTCTCTCGTTCCCCCGGTTGCCCAATTGCGGTATGAAAACAAATGGCGACTGACAGCGAGGCTCGCTTTTCAAGTGCAAAGGATTAAATTAATAATTCACTGCCTTTGTCATCGAATAGAATAACCCGCGAATGAACTCGAATGCAACCGCCGAAGCGTCGAGACGCGATTTAAATATATAGAAACGAATAAATCATCGAGCGATCGAGATATAATCGTTAAATCTGTGTTCTTATCTCTTTCAGTACCTCTACCTGCTGTTCAGCGACGACGATCTCATAAATCTAGACGAATGGGTGTTCAACTCCGAGGCGCACGTGCTTCCCATCCGGGGTAACCCCCTGTACCGGCCGGCTCCCTCTTTATAATTCAAAGGAACCCTCACACCTCGAGGAAACGACGCACCTACGAGGCAGCAGCACCGTTCTAACAGCTCGAAACACCGGAAGTTCTCCGCATCTTACAAAGGAGCGAGAGCAACGCGGGATAGAACCACGGGAAAAGGAAGAAGAATCGTCATCGACTCGTCCACGTGGAACGAGAGCAATGTCAACGGGAAAATTCGACGGTGAACTCGAGGAACGGGAAGAACGGTGAACGTTTCTGGATTAGGGAATAGGGAAAAATGAGAAAAGGGAGAGATGGGAAATGTAACGGGGGAAAGAGGAGAAAGAAGCAAAGGAGAAAGAA